AGTAGTATAGTTAGTGATACACCTATAGAAAAGCCTGCAAGAAGCATATATGATTAAGCTGCAGACTAGACTAACTATAAAAGTACATTCAAAAAAAGATATATAGTAAACTGCAAATTAATAATTCAGATCTTAATAAATTCAGCCATACTACTAGAGTACTAGAAAGTAAATTAGACTGTATAAACCAAACTGGTAGCAAGAAACTACCAGAGTTAACCAATTTGGAAAAAAGATGGATTATTACAGATAGTAAACAAGAAGGCTTCTGAGTAAGAAAAGTAGAAGAAATTAAAAGTATAATAAGATGATCTATAGCCTTTTTGGTAGTTTAGTAATAATGATTAAAATACATAATAAAGGTTATAAAAAATAAAGTATATAAGAAAATGTTGATATAATGTTACATTGGGTGTCTATAAGTAAAATAGATTCTAGTAATATAAATGTAATGTAATTATATATAATAGTAATGCAAAAAACTAAATAAAGTATAAGTTATGATTTGGCATTATAAAAAAAAAAAAAAAAAAACCTATAAGATGTTCAAAACTACCAATTCAGATAGTTTGGTATAGTATTTAAGATTTTTTTTTTTTTATAGTTTCTGATAACCTAATTGGTATATATTTTTTTATTTTTTATTTTTTATTTTTAGTATTAAGGTGACCTCTTTAGTTCTAGCTTTTTATTAATACTTATATATATTAGATATATGTTTTATATAGATAAATCTATAATAAACTATTAGACAAGTATACAACTGACTATATGTGTAACTTTTTTATATTACCTATTTAAGAAGTCTGCTCAAAGGTTCCTCACCAGTTGCTGTACCTAACACTCCTGCTTTGATGTTCTATTTAAACCTTCTGATTAACCTGTGAGTTATTAGTGAAGTAGTTATGCTTTCAGGTTACTAATCGCAAGGTTGCCAGTTCAAGTCCAACAGGGACATAAACTGTATTAGAACTATAATTACAGATTAATCACATCATATAGCATATTATGAAAATAGGAAGATCTTTGGTACTCAGATCCTTAAATAACAATGAACCTGACATAAGAAGGCCATAATAATTAGAGAACTAAGGATAATAATAGAACAAAGGAATCCTTGATTAGGAATAATCTTAGTAAAATTTCGGAGTAATAAAAATACAAAAATTAGTATATAGATAGTACTGTAAATGTATACAAATAATGTAAAATGTAAACAGGATCCTGATAGAAGGTCCTGTAAACTTAAAATATGAACTAATAAAACAGCTACTAGCTGCAGCCTACTAGTAAGCATGCAGTGGGAAATTCAAAAAAAAAAAAACCCCTCTGATCTGACTCTAATATTAATTTCATTAAATTATAGATCTGGATCTATTTGCATTTAACTATAGGACTATAGTTCTTAGACTATTTTTATCTCTGAGACAAACATATCAGAGTGAGCTGTATTTCTTTTTTATTACTAATCTGGTTTGACACTATGGCTAAGACCAATATTTGCAGTTAAGATTACTCATTAAACTGCTATTACTTTTGTAAAGTTTATCCAAATCCTAATACCTATTTTCCTGACTTTTTCTTTATTATTTTCTACTAACTACAACTTGGAACTAACAACAGACCTTTTCAGACTTTCAATTCAGATGGCTTGGTATAGTATACTTATGTATCTTTTTCTTTAAATGATTTTGACAGCCTAGTTGGTTATGTGCTTCTCTACACATCTTATATTCAGTTTATTTGATAGTTCTTATAAAAGTGTTTCATAAACTTCTATTAGTTTAACAGCACTATCAAAAGTTTATGTTACCTTTTTATTTAGGATTTCCATGTGGGCTTTCATCTTCTCAGTTTCTTAGTTTTCTATGCCTGATGGTCTTATCATAGGTTTGCACTAAAATTTTATATAATATTATTTTTCTATATATGTATAACATTACACTTCACTCTAAGCTCCCAAAATTAAATGGGTCCTAATCTGATATACTTAAGATTACAGATGCATAAATTCAACCAATCAACAAGAAACAGTTATCATAACATAGATATAATTTCCAAAATTTGTCATTTATAGAAATTGAACCTTAGACCTATCACTTAAGAGTTAACAACCTATTTACTTTACTAAATCATCACACTCTATATATATTTCTTTATATATATTATTATTTGATTCATTCTAACTATTTTTTCTAAGACTTTCATTAATTCAATAATATTATTAAAAGTTCATACTGGGGTGTAGTGACCTAGTGAAGTGAATAGGTTATCAACTCTTAAGTGGCAGGTCTAAGATTTAATTCCCACAGATGACGAATTTTGAAAATTATACCTATATTACAGTAACTGTCTCTTGCCGATCGGTTAGGTTTTGGGCATCTGTAATCTTAAGTACACCAAGTTAGGTTCCACCTGACATTAGGAGCTCAGGGCAACTATGCAAATTGTAACATTATACAGTACATATACATAGAGGAATATAAAACCAATATCGAATAAGGCTTCAGGCAAATCCACGATAAGACCACCAGGCATAGAAGGCTAAGAAACTGAAGAGATAGAAACTCACTTGAAAATCCTGAGTAAAGAGGTAACACAAACTTTCGATAGTGCCATTGGACTGATAGAAGCTCATGAAACATCTTCATAGGAACTGTCAGATAAACTAGATGACAAAGATGTGTAAAGGAACATATAACCAACCAGGCTACCAGAATCATTGAACGAAAAGAATATATAAGTATACTATATTGGGCCATCTGAATTGAAAGTCTGGGAAGTCAGTTAGTTCTGAGTTGCAACTAGTAGAGAATGATGGAAAAGAAGTCAGAAAGATGGATATCAGGATTTGGGTGAACTTTACAAGAGTAATAGCAGTTTAAAAGGTAACTCTGATGCAAGTGTTAGTCTCAGCCATAGCGTCAAACCAGATTAGCAGTAAAAGGAAATATGGCTCACTCTGGTAGGTTTATCTCAAAGATAAAAATAGTCTAAGGATTATAGTCCTATAGTTGATAGTGAATAGATCTGAATCTGTGATCTGGTAAAATTAATATCAGGATTAGATTAAAAAATTTAAATGAAACATCTAAGCAGAAGTGTTAGATACAGCAACTGATAAGGAACCCTCAAACAGACTTCTTAAATAGGTAATATAGAAAAGTTACATATATAACTAGTTGTACACTTGTCTAATAGTTCATTATAGATATGTTTATATAAAACATATACCTGATATAAGTATTAATAAAAAGCTCAGACCAAAGAGGTCATCTTAATACTGAAAAAAAAATTAAAAGTTTATACTACCTCTTTACTTTGGATTTCTAAATGAGTTTTTATGTTTCAGTTTCTTAATATTATATGTCTAATGATTTTATTATAAGTTTATATTAAACTTAATACCAAAAAAAAAATAAGTTTATATTAAAGTTTTATGTAATACCAGTTATTTAACATTCCTCTATATATGTATAATGTTACACTTTATATAAATATCTCAAGCTCTTATTCAAAATAGTATCTCTAAGATTACAGATCATTTCTTTAATCTAACTAATTAACAAAACACAGTTACTATAATACAAATTAATTTTTAAATTTCATTATAAATAGAATTTAAATCTTAAACCTGCCACTTGAAGAATAACAACCCAACCACTACACCAATATCATTATCCTCTTTAATAATTATATTTAAAATTAGTAAAATTTATTTTTTATTATAAATTTAAAAAATTTATAATTAATTTTAGTTGTAAACAACTTATTATATAATCACATGCTTAATTTTGATTGGCCAATCATATAAGATCATCATTGCAACCTGTCACCATAAGTTTTATTAATAACATATTTTTATTTCTATATAAACCTTATTGTACTATAATAAATAATCTACATACCTCCTGCCTTTAAGTAATGTTATTTACCTCTTATATCTAAGACTCAAATAGAAAAGAAAGGTTATGTTAAACATAATTTTAACTTGGCGTGATCTTAATATTGATGATATTATCATAAAGAATTATATTACCTATCTTGAATATGATATAACTTTTTTTAAACAATCTTTATATTTGTACAAGCAAAGCTTCGCAATATTTATTCCAAAATGACTTTACATCTTTCCATTGTACTTGCTATATAAATTTAAAACATAGGGGTTGTAAACGAGCCTTTGGCCTTCACACAAATTTAGAATGGAATCCGCCCCTATAGCAGTGATGACTTTTGGACATATGAAAAGTTGTCCAAACATGTTCAAAATTGCCAACACTGTCTATAATAGCCTAACTGATATATCATCAAGTAGTTTAGGTAATTATTTTGACAGTGCCCAACTTTTTTCCTATCCCCTCGTCACTTTTCTTTTTTTCTTTAGTAATATATCCTATCTCAATTCAAGGCAGAAGTAACGATTCCCCTCTTTCTATTTATAGTTGAAACATATGAAATAAACTTTGATATAAGAGTATGCTTGACAGGCTTATTAGAAGAAATTTCAAGATAGAACTTATCTATTTTTTTCAGTATTATTAACTGAGGAAGTTGTTTGTTCGGATATATTCGAGTTCTGGTTTAAAATTTTATTTGATAAATCAGTAACTCGAGCATATTCCTTAAATTCAGTAACCTTACGTTTTAACGTATGCTTTTCGATAATGACTTCACTTATGCCTATTTCGAGCATAAAACTAAGTTTATTGTGCTTCCATTCTGATCTTACATTATCATGTTCTAGCCTGTTAAAAGTCTAAAAGGATCTTTCTAGAGACGGACAGATTTAGCTCCAAATGTGAACACGACAGAATACTGAACTTCACCTGATTATGCGTATTTATATTCCATATGAGATACTTATCACTAAATTCTTTAATTAAAATTCAAATGAACAAAATAAATTGACGCGTTGTTTACACTAGTAGGTATGTTGTACAAAAAATGTATTGCGCCATTTCTCATAAATTTATCCAAAGTACCACGAGTTCAAGATTATGGATTATGCTCAGCAGGAAAGTGAATTCCAAGCTGGTATACCACCACGTCTTGTATCTGTATTTTATTCGGTGTTCGATCCGGATAAAGGACCTCAAGTAGTTTTTGATGTACCAGAAGGCTACATTAAAGTACCAGAAGGCTCCATTAAAGTACCAGAAGGCTCCATTAAAGTACCAGAAGGCTCCATGAAAGTACCAGAAATCTCCATTAAAATACCAGAAGGCCCCATTAAACTTACAAAGTCGTCAATGCCCATAATTGACTTTCCTTCAATTTCCCAATACATCGTTCCAACACAACAATTATGCGGCCATTTGGTAAATATTTGCACGAATTCTTATCAAGTCATGGGATATCCAGTTGGAATATGGGGAAACCGTTACCCTAGGAATAGTTTCATGTTTAATTTGAGTTTTGTCTTTGATCGCGGTGCTGACACTTCAAGCTATGAACCTGTTGTAAGAAAAGTTGCTAGGGTATTAACTTCACTAGAGGTCTGTCTATAAAATAATTTTAAATGCTATAATTGCTTCATATAACAATAATTATTTTTAATAGAACGAAAGCGCGTTTTTGTCTAGTGAATCTACGAAGTCTTTTATATATAACATAATCGAACAGCTTTTCGAAGATCTTAACAGTTATTGCGAATGTCAAATACCCATTAGTAAGTTGCTTATAATAACATTATTAGTGAGAAGCTGGATTAAAAATATCTACGTTCAATCAGATTCAGCAAATACGATAAATTTGAAGTTATTTCCAACATATCGAAATCCGCCACCAGTGTACGATTATCAAGTTCCAATTTGTACTGTTAACCTTAAAGCTTTAATAGATGGTAATTGGGATATCACGATGGAAAAGGTTGAAAAATATTTTATATTCGTGATTTTTAGTAAATTTGGGTTAAAAATTTAATTTTGGTGCGTTTTTTCAAGGTGGCTAAAACCATAAATGGCATTCATCATGTTAAAAAGATTGCTGAATTGGCCGATGTTGATTATGGATTGGCTCGAAAATGTATGGAACACCTTTTGTAAGTACCATAAATAACTTGATTTTTGGGCAAATTTCATAAATCATATTATTTTTTATAGATACTATGGATGCGTTATTATGGTTGATATTTTTCAGGTGATTAAATATACAATATAGATATAAAGGATGAAGATAAAAAATTTCTAATTTTCTTATGATACTTTCAGTTTTCAAATGTGTATGCCGTGAAGCCTGATATTACTAGAATAATAGAAGATGAAGCACTTCAGAGTGAATGTTTGTCTTATGTGAGAAAGCGAGGTAAGAAGGTTCAAAAATTTTTAAAAATCTATTCAGAACATGTTCACAATCATTGATTTTGTAGACAAGATACCACCATCATTTGCCAAGCTGTTTTCACTTTATTGTCAACTGAAGCATGGGTTAACCCTTAAAGAATGGATTCAAGAAAATAAAGAAGTTACATCGTTAAATATTGACATTCGGTAAAATTGGTTTTCACATTGGTCGTACTATGTTTGGTATTCAAGGATACTGACATAGATATTCGTGCATTTTGAATAAGACGATTCATATCTTTTGGCATAATTAAAGGATTTTTATATCGCGTTCATAAATATCCTATTCTTCCTGAACCTAGTAGACAACAAACTTCACTACCAAAACAACTGTTCAGGTATGTATCAAATTTACTACATAATTTTTTTTTTGCAAGATATATTAATCCATATATTCTCAAATAATTATGTCACATTAATTAGATTACTCGATGGTAAGCACCATTATGATGAGATATGTACACTTAAAGGATATAGCGTCCGAGAATTGGATGAAATACTGAAAAGTGAGCCCGAGGTAAAATTTATTTTACGGTAAATAAATGCGTAACAGGATAAGGCGGTAGAAATTTGAGTGGCATCAAGAGAAACTTGGAACTTTATTTAATAATGTTTTAGGGTTTACCTTGTGATTTTCGTTTATTTAATGTGCTGTACACCCACTTTTTCTGAGTATAATTCATAATTAGCAATTTGATCGGTTCATGTGATTTATGTTGGATCATATATAATAAAAATTACTGTAAGCTTTGAGCCCATGTTCTTTTTTATTAAACTTATTTTCAAATTTGTGACTAAATTAATGATTTTTTGATTTTAAAAAATAAGTAATTGTTGAATCATACCAGTGGTGTTAATACGTATCACAGTCGTTACACGTACGTGTATATATCTCAAAAGCTAAGTAATTAAAAAAACCTCTTTCCAGCCTTAGTTTTAGTTCTAAAATATAACATCTCATATACTAATTTTTAACTTTAATTTTAAATTTATAATAAGATAACTAAATAAGCAAAGTTAGATTCTATCTTATTATTAAGCTTATATGAAATTTGTCCTAATTTTATTATCTCTTAGTTTGTATTTAAATTAGAGGCAAATTTGCCCCTAATTTTTTAATAAAAATATTTGATTTAATTTTTTAAAAATTACAATATTTAAATTTAATTTTTTTTTAATAATTTTTGAAAATAAGGATTATATAATTGTAGTATTTGTATTTAATTTATAAGAAAAAAATTTAAATTGTATATATTTTAAAATTTTAGTTATTTTAAAATTTCGTTACTTATTCTTAATTAATTTATCTATTAAGTATATTATTTTGATAAATCATAATTTAATAGAATTTATCAAAAAGGAATAAATTTTATTATAATTTTTATGATTTATTTGTAAAAATTTGAACTTATATTAAAATATTTTTTAGCTTCAAAAACATAAAATTTTAGTAAACTTAATTTAAATTTAATAATAAAATTTTTTAAATGATAAACTTTAAAATTTAAATTACTCAAAAACTATCTAATAAAAGTAAAAAAATTTTTTAATAAGAATATTTTTTTATAAAGATTATAGACTCCTTATCATTAATAATTTTTTGAGCAATTTGAAGGTTTATCAACTTTTTATCCAATTGGAGGCAAATTTGCTCCCAATACAGACTAAGGGATAAAAATCCTATCGCTATAGTTAGACAAATTACGAATTAAAAATACAGTATACATAGAAAAATATCAAACCTAAAATACGTATACATATACGTATACGTATGACAAGTTATTTTTTTATACACTCTATAAACCATCTATATTGATCTGTATAAAATTTTTATTTACACATGATTTTTTTTTTAAAAAAAGGCTGACATGTGAACATCAACATTAAATTTGTATTCCCTTAACATACGTAATACTTTAAATTTTTATCTTAATGTATTTAGTCTAAATTTGTATTACTAACACAAATAATATATATAATAACCCACCATCTCTACCGGATGCCATATATCTAGACTATTACGTATAAAGGCAAAAATGTGGAAATTTCTTTCTCTTAATGATATGAACGCATTCGGTACATTATTAAATTTCTCTTAATGTTTTTAACTACAATGCTCCCTTTTATTTTTTATATAGAAATTATTTGATTTTAACTGATTTTTTATCTTGGTATATATGAAAATAAAAGGTGTCATTATACAGTACGTATTAAAAAAAACACGCCAAGTTCAGGGGAATTTTATGCATACGTATGTTTTATTATATATATATTATAATTGCTTTTTTATTTATAAAATATTGTCATAATTATAATTGCCTGGAGCAAAGCGACAGACTTATACTTCTACGTCCTTTGATAACAAAAATTCGTTTTTGATTCATTTATATTAAAAATAACAAAAAAGTAGGGTTGGTATTTTCCGTTTGTAACGACACGTATAGTAAAGTCAAAATTTTACTAGGTAAATCGATTATATACAGGGTTGGCATGGACCGGTCAATGGTCAAGCTTGACCAGACCAGTTTGACCAGTTGGTCAAAGGGTTTAGTATTGGTCAAATTGGTCAAATAATATATAAAGTATATAAATATATTTGTTTATTTATTTGTATATTAAAATTATTTATTTAATAGGCTAGACCATTTGACCAGACCAGTTCGACCACCAAATTTTTGGTCGACCAGTAATTTGGCCAACCAAGATAAATTATATACTATTAAGTAAACTACCCCAGGATCGCCGTCAAATTTTCACTTTCACGTGATGATCATCCAATAGCGTGTTTCGGTTTAATGTAACGTTACACGATCAGGAAGATCAAAACAAAACGTTCGCTTTTCAAAAATCGCTTATTCCTCAAAAACTTGCATAAGAAACCATCTTTTGAGCTCTAACAAAAAAAATTCTTCGAGTGATTTTACTATTACTCTTCTAAAACCTAGCCCTATTATAAACGCTAACCCTAACTTAAACGAATTTAAAGATTTTTAAACGCGGTCACGTGAAAGTGAAAATTTGACGGCGATACTGGGGAAGATTATTAAGTAAGGTCGTTCAGGTGATCAAAATACATATATTCTTGATCACCTGACAACTTTACTTCATAGCATACGTATAATCGATTTACTTAGTAAAATTTTGACTTTACTACATATGTAGTACATATCGGTATCAATATTATGAATTAATTAAAAAAATCAATTATATCTAAAAATGAATTTGAATTATTCAGACTTACAGTTCCTGGTTGTTATAAATTTTCATGTACATATATACTTAATTGACCGTGGTTAACTGGTTAGATCAGTAATAATCTTCAATATCGCGTATGTTGTTCACGATCATCGTTCATGATACTTAATTCATGCTAGTGGAAAGCCATATGGCGTGATTTATTTGACATCGTTTGATTAATTAGTATATGATGCACCCCAACACTTCACATATAATTTACATAATTTCTAATCTAGTACATAATACATATTTTTTAAATTTAGGACATAAATACATAATTTTGCTTTTTTTTTGCCAGTACTGAATAGACTATTACTCACGTGATAGATCGTTGTGTTACCTTTAATGTAGATAATCATTCTATCAGTTTTGGGAACGAGGCCAAAAAAGCTCGGGACAATCAAATGTACAACACTGGAGGTGGTAATTGTAAATCTTATATAAAAAAAAATCGTGATAACATTGAAGTTAGTGTAACTTGGCGATTAAAGAATGAACCTATGGATGATTGCATCATAAACTATAAATTTACTATATAATTATGGCGTGTGAATTTTCACCTTCCTTCCCTTTTCTTTGTTTGCGTGAATCATGGGTATCTTCTCTGAACTCAACCTCCCTGCTGGCGTTATTACTGGCGAAAACGTTCTCAAATTGTTTGAGTATGCCAAAAAAAATGGTTTCGCTATTCCAGCAGTGAATTGTACTTCCTCTTCAACTATTAACGCTACTTTGGAAGCTGCTCGTGATATTAAAGCACCAATTATCATCCAACTTTCTCAAGGCGGATCTGCTTTCTACGCGGGTAAAGGTTTGAGCAATGATGGTCAGCGTGCTAGTATTATGGGTGCTATCTCTGCTGCACATCATATCAGGACAATTTCAAAAGATTATGGAATGTAAGTTAAATTTTTAATAGGCATAAATTATACTATTCATTCAGAGATAAAAAATTGATTATTTATTTTATCTAATTTTAATTGTTAGTCCTGTCGTGCTACATTCTGATCATTGTGCCGAAAAGCTTTTGCCATGGTTTGACGGAATGTTGGAAGCTGATATTGAGTATTTTAAAAAACACGGTGAACCTCTCTTTAGTTCTCACATGCTTGATCTTTCTGAACTACCAAAGGAAAAAAACATTTCTATCTGTAAAGAATATTTGAAGAAAATGGCCGAGATCAATCTTTTCCTTGAAATGGAAATTGGTATTACTGGTGGAGAAGAAGATGGCGTTGACAATACTGATGTTCATAATTCATCTTTATATACACAACCTGAGGACATCTGGGATGTGTACAGAGAACTGAGCCAGATCAGTAAAATGTTCACTATTGCTGCTGCCTTTGGAAACGTACATGGTGTTTATAAACCTGGAAACGTTAGGTTGTCTCCAGGTTTGCTGAAAGAACATCAGGAGTATGTGCGCGCAAAATTAAACTGTGAAGATGATAAACCTGTGTTTTTCGTATTTCATGGTGGTAGTGGATCTGTCAAAGACGAGATCAAGGAAGCTGTCAGTTATGGTGTTATCAAGATGAATGTTGATACAGATACTCAATGGGCTTACTGGGAAGGATTGAAGGGCTATTACGAAAGCAAGAAGGATTATCTCCAATCCCAAGTTGGAAACCCTGAAGGTGATGATAAACCTAATAAGAAATACTATGATCCTCGTGTGTTCATTCGTGAATCTGAAAAGAGCATGGCTAAACGTGTTAAAGAGGCATGTCATGATTTAGGAAATGTCAACCGTTTATAAAATATAACTTTTTTTTTGATAATTGTAAAGCATGGTTACCATGTAATACTTAATATGATAGTCGAACAATAATGCAATAATAACAAGAGAAAACGTTACATATATTTTTGTGTATTTTATTTTATTGCAAATAATACAATCAAACCTATTCGTGTGCAATTTCCCTAAACGCAACACGGGAGACTTGACTATGTGGTCAAACTTTAAATGCACAATTCCAAGTGTAAATTTGCAGCGTATATTATAAATAGTACTTTAAAAAATTTTATTGAGAAATATATTTATATCGTACAAAGTTAATTGTTCTCATAACCCGACCAGGTCGACTTTTGTAAACCAAATTTTTTATTAATAATCGTACCCCGTGGATATGAAATATTCTAATGACCAAACTTTTTATCTCGTAATCTATTTGAAGCAAATCTACTAATAGGCAGCGTATACGTACGTGAATTTGGAACACCAACAACCCCTATAATCAACTTATTAAACTTGACACAAACCTACCTGTGTACCCGATGCGTTGTGTTGTGATAAACCTTAAAGCAACTTAAAATATGCTCGATAAGATAATTTAGAATCCGCCTAATATTAATTGAATTCTTTAACAGCTTAAGTATATAATTTAGAATT